TGTCAAGTGTCTGAGGCTGGATTTGAACTCAGATCCTCCTGACTCCAGGGCTGGTGCTCTAACCACTGCACCACCTAGCTGCCCCACACAACCTGGCTTCTTAGAGACTACTAATCGATCAATTAAATATTAAGTGCTTACTATGTACCAGACACTACTAAGCAATGGAGATGCAAAAAAAAAAAAAGCCCTCATTGAATTCGCATTCTAATTGAGACAACAAACAACTACATACATAAATGATATAGGCAGATAGAGTAAATGGAAAGCAATTCCAGAGGGGAGGCACTAGAAGTACAAACCATTCCATCATCTCCCCTTTCTAAGCCTTTGCAGTGGTCATCCCCCATGACTGGGATGCTCTCTTTCTGAATATCTGCCTCTTACATCCCTGGTTCCCTTCAAGTACATGTTTCCCCCATTAGAATGCAAGCTCCAGGCAGCTAGGTGGCACAGTGGATAAAGCACCGGCCCTGAAGTCAGGAGGACCTGAGTCCAAATCTAACCTCAGACCAAACACTTGACATGTACTAGCTGTGTGACCTTGGGCAAGTCACTTAACCCTGGTTGCCTCACTTAAAAAAAAAAATGCAAGCTTCCCTAAGAGCAGGTACGATTTTACCTTTGGTTTTGTATCCCTGTTATAGAGTATTGCACCTGGCATTCAGTGAATGTTTGATAAATGTTTGTTTGCATGATACTAATGAAAGTTTTTGAATGTGAATAAAACTACTGTGGAAGACACTAAGACCAGAATTCATGAGTATAAGCTTGTAACTGATTCCCCTTCTTTCTCAGAATAACAAACAATGACTTTGGTAAGATAGTCAGGATGGACAGAAAAGTATAAACTGAAAAACAGGAAATCCAGTCTTGGCTGACTGTCAAAAAGCTGAGTCTGGTGAGAGTGAGTTTAGATCACAGGTTTAATTTCTCAAAAAATATTTCAGGGATAGAATGAGCGATGATGGTTCAGTTACCAGTCATCATAGAGTTCTATTCTACTATATATGAGTATGAGATGGGAGAACTACCTAGAATCCTGTCTATTCGGACCTGGTTCACTCTAAAAAGCCTTCCTTCACCACCAGCCCCTGTCCCGGGATGGACATTACCTCTCCCTATACTGAATTTCATAGGAATATGCATTCATACTACTAATCATAGACAGTCCTTGCATCCTAGTGATTTATGTGCACATTTCACTCCAATTACGCTTGGAGATCCTAGGAGTACAGGTATTACTACATTATACATCTCTTTATATGCACCTGACATGGGAAGTACTCTATATTAGCTAAAGATGTCTTGAACTTAGCTTTAAAAACTACTCTTCTGGACTTCACCATTTGTTTGTGGCACTACCATTCAGTTTCCCATGATCAAAATCTCCATCTTTAACTTCCCTCATTCTTTTGTTTCATTTCACATCTCTGAAATTCTCTTCAATCTCTCCTACCTTTTCTTCTCTCTATTCCCACTACCACCATGCTAATAAAGATTTTAAATAATTATCTGTTTGTATTATTGCAATAATCTCCCTAAGTGGTGGTTCCTGCTTCCCCTCCAGTCAAACCTTTATAATGATCTCTTTTCATTTGCAAGGTCACTACACTATTTTCTGACCATGCCATGCCACCTAAACCCAATTTTTGCAATTCAGTATAAAAAAGTATGCTTTCCAAGTATAATAAGGGAGATAGGGTAGATAGCAATTGTTTAGGAAAAGATTTGGGGGGAGAGGAGGGAAGGTGGTGTTAGTGGATTGAAAGCTCAGTGAGCAAGCAATATGATATAGCAGCCAAAAAAGCTAATTTGATGTTGGGCTGCATTAGAGATGTACCTTCCAAGAATAGAGAAGTGATAATCTCTTTGTACTCTGCCCTTATCAGACCTCACCTGGAATACTGTGTTCGGTTCTGGGCACTATTGTTTAAAGAGGATATTAATAAGCTGGAGAGCGTCCAGAGGAAGGCAACCAGGATGATGAAGGGTCTTGAGTCCATGTTATATAAAGATTGGTTGAAGCAACAAGGCATGTTGAGCCTGGAGAAGATCTTGGGGGGACATGATAGCCATCTTTAAGCATTTAAAAGGCTATTATGTGGAGGCAAGATTAGATTTTTTTTTTCCTTTTCGGTCCCAGAGGGCATAACCAAGAGCATTGTGTAAAATTTCAAAGAGACAACTTGAGGTTTGGTGTCAAGAAAAACTTCCTAACAATTAGAGCTGTCCAAAAATGGAATGGTCTGCCTTGAGATGTTGTGGGGTTCATCCTCTTTGGAGATATTCAAACACCACTTTGAGCAGGTTGTAGTGAATGTTCCATTTGTGTTAGGATTGGATTAGATAGCTACTTTAGATTCTTCCAACTCTCAAATTCTGTGACCCAAATGCTATCTATTCCCCTCCTCCCCCAAGCCTTTATTGATCTTTCATTTTGTCTTGCAACACTGATAGACTTCTCATATTATAAATTTATTAATGTTTGTGTCTTACTCTTTCAGTACACTGGTAAGCTCCACCATGTCTTATCTAAAATTCCCATGCCTTTCCTCCCCCCTGCACAGTGGGTACTTAATAAATATTTTTTGAGTGAATATATTTTCATTCATGTATCCCAAACTACATAGCTGCCTACATCAGTAAGCAAAGAAATTCCAGAAGTTTTCCAAAGTTAGAATTTTAAAGTTCTAAAATCAGCAATGTGGAAGTTACCTGAAGGTACAAATAGTCCTTATAAAAGAAAAATCACAAACACTGAAACCAGACTTCCGTAGAAAGCAGAAAAAAATAATTTATTCCAAAGGGAGATAGAAATTTAATTTTAAACTCTTTGGAAAATACAGCTTGATACAGCTCCAACACCTTTAGGGTACATTTTTCCTCTGAACATGATCTCCTGGCGATTAACAAAACTGTAGCCATTCATCTTGCTGTAGGAGTCTTGAATACATCATTTATTTCTAATGTGGTTAATGGTGGGGGGAGGCTTCAAGTTCTTAGACATGAACAGGGAAAAAAGAATAATATATCTCACTAAAATTACATTCTTCTGCATCAGAAGAGTCCATATACCTTTGGTGTACTTGGCATGTACTTTAGGTAAGTAGGCACACAGGTTGACAAAGAGTAAATTTTTTAAAAGTATATAACAGAAAAAAAAATACTGAACTTTAGAATAAGATGGAAATTCAAGTATGGTATAAATATTTAAGGCAGCTGGTCTCCAAACAGATGAGTTAAGGCAGTCTTTGGATTAAGAGGTGCTTTAACATGTAGAGGATGTATCTTCTTTACCTGCAAAATAAAACCATTCCAGTTATTAGCTCTCAAATCCCTCTTCTCATGAGAAAAAGATTAACTTAGTAAATCAGGGTAATGAGACAACCATAAAAGTTAATCAGATCAATAATTAAAAATTAACAAAATCACATATGGCATGTCTAGTTGTGGGGAAATAATGTAGCATAGAAAAAAGTGTGCTGGCTTTAAAGTGAGAGAACCTGCATTCAAGTCCTAGCTTCTCTATTACCTATATGACCTCAGACAAATCAACTAAGTTTTCTGGGGCTCAGTTGCCTTGTGTGTGAAATGAGGGGGATGGACTAAAAATCGCATGATTCTATATGTGAAGCAATACTTTGCTTTTACAAGGGGTGGTCTTAAAGATATAATCAAGCTAAAATCTTAACACACTTGACTACAATAATTGGTACCTGGAATATGTAATTTTAAAAAAGTAGTAGGGACAAGTAACATTGGTTGTATTGGAATCTATGAAAATTCAAATCAATTTATCAAATGATAAATTAGCCATCTCTTCTCTTGCAGTAGCAAACAGGATTACTACAGGTGCAGTTAATAATAAAAATATGTTTTGTTTCTGTGTGTAGCTTCTTAATTGTCCTCTTGCTGGCTGTCCATTCTTGTTTAAAAAAATATGAGGAGGGGCAGCTGGGTAGCGCAGTAGATAGAGCACGGCTGTGGAGTCAGGAGGACTTGAGTTCAAATCTGGCCTCAGACACATAACACTCACTAGCTGTGTGACTCTGGGCAAGTCACTTAATCCCAACTGCCTCACAGGAAAAAAAAAATATGAAGGAGGGGGGCAAGTAGAACAGAATTCCTTCTTTCAAAGTTCTAAGGTTGAGACCCCTTTATCCTTATAAAATATCAAATAGAAGCATTAAAAGCCTGGCAGCCAAAAGTCACTAAACTGTGCATATACTTTTCAACCAATGATACCATTACTAGGTGTATACCACAAAGAGATCAAATTAAGAGGAATAAAACCCATGTATACAAAAGAACCGTAAACAACAGGGACTCACATCAATTAGGGGAATGGCTGAACAAATTATGGTATATGAATGTAATGGAATATTATTGCACTGTTAAAATATGTTAAAAGGAACAGTTTTTAGAAAAACCTAGAAAGATTGGTAGGAACCAATGCAGGGTAAATAATGGGAGCCAGGAGCAAATTTATAAAACAATAACACTGTGAAGATAAACAACTTTGAAAGATTTAAAAACTCTGATCAATGTAGTGAATGCCCAACCACAATTCCAGAGAGCTGACTTTGGAACATGCTATTCATCTCTGGCCACAGAGGTGATGGACTCATGGTCCATCATGAGACAAACATTTTTTGGCTATCACCGATCAGAAAATTTGTTTTAAGTATGTTTTTTGTTAGAATATTTTTCTTTCTTTCTTTTTTTCAAATGGGGGGGGGTGAGAGTAGGAAGGAAAGGAAATAAGTGCTTACTTGAAAATAATAATAATATCTTTTTAAAAAACCAAACCCAGTCAGGTTAATTATGGGTTGTTTTTACCATCTAGGTCATTCTCAAGAGTAGCCAGGTGCCATATAACTCCTAAGGGTAATAAATGAAGTGGTGCTGTAGGATAAGGCCAAATGGATTTAATTTCCTGTGTCTTAGGAAGCACGAGTTTGCCTCTGATCAGTACTAAGTAGGTCTTTCTATGGGAAGGCTTATGACCCACCTCTTGGGGAAGGTTGTACAGGGCATTCCTGATCATGTGTGGGTTGGACTGGGTAGCCTCTGTGGTCCATTCCAACACTAAGATTCTTTGTATAGTAGAATGAGCCCTATTAAGAATCAAAGCATTTATGTTCAAATCCCAGCTCAGTTAATTATGACATCTATGACCTTCTGCAAGTGACCTTTCCTCATGGGTAAAATAAGGGAGTTGACCCACATGATTTTCTAAGGTTTCTTTCTACTTTTAAATGTATGATCCAAAAATCTAAGTTCTGTAAATTCATTTTAGGTATTAGTCTACAGTAAGCAGAATATGGAAGATCTAGAGGCTAAATATAGCATGTATATGCATATATTCACATGTGGAGGGTCTTTAGATCAGTAGGCCAGCCCTTTCAAGTCTCACAGAGAGGTTCCAAACTGAAGAATAGTAGCCAGGCTCATCATCTTCAGTACTAAAAAGGCTCAAAAATTCATGCACAAAGGCACCAATGACTTAAGAGTTCACTGGTACATGCCGGGCCATTTCTGATCCCTGAAGACAGAAGGCATCAAAATGTTACAGAACTACAAGCAATAGCATTTTAAAACTAAACCAAAGTCAAAGTGACATACAAAACAATTTGTAAGTAACCAAACTTGGGCTAGAGGCAAAGAAAATGACCAGGGCTGAAAGCTTTTAGTGGCATATGGTTTAAAAGTTTTTCAAGATGCTTCATTGTCTCTCTGTTACCCTTCCTTAGTTAGCAGAACAGATCTTTTGCAAAACTAGCAGAGAATATTAACTTTGTTGGAGAAAATACAGTTGGTGAATGATGATCTTTTATATGCTATGGTATGTTTCCATTAAATATTTATTGATTAGACATCAAAAAGTATGTCTTTCTACCAACAGAACTACCATGGAAAGGGAAAACAGAGACTGGGAAAACTACATGCATGAGGGAATTATTTTCAAACAGGCTCAATGATACTTGTTTAAAAGAAATTAAGCATTAAGTTAAATAACATGATCTTGTGATCTGAAGTTAGAGTGAGTCAAAAACATATAGTGTTAATTTTCCCTCTATTGAGTAATTGTTCTGTTTTTAGATAAGCTCACATGTTCTCTTTTCAAGCTTCCTCATTTGTAAAATGAGGGAAATAAGAAAGACAAAGGTACTGTGTACTTAAAACTTTCAGATTAAAGGCATTATGTAAAGTGCTATTACTAAAACCAGAGGGAAAAATTCTGAAGAAATCCTTTGATGAAATAGAGTCCTGTCCCTCAAGTTAAATGATGTATGTCAAAATTATTGCTGTGGCAATGAACTTCATTTTTACTCTGACTTTTAACTTTCATCTAAATAAGTGAAATCTGACCCTTTCTAACTGCTCCAGCACTGAGTGATCATAATACTCCTTCATTTGATTATAGTTCTCATTTGGCACTTATCCAGCCCACAAATACTTACTGACCACCTAGTACAAATTGTGGTAAGTAGCCCTGTGTCACTACACATGGTAGTGACACAAGAGCACTGGTCTGAAAGTCAAGAGGCTTAGATTTTAGTTCTGTCTCAGCTACCATAGTATTTCTGTGATATGAAGCAAGTTATTTTTAACTATCTGGGTCTCAGTTTCCTCACCTGTAAAATGAGGGGCGTGGATAAAATGATTTCTAATCCCCCTTCTGGCACTATTAACATTTTACATACATACATACAAACACATGCATACATAGAAACAAAACGCTGTAGTTTTAAAAACAATGTAGCGAGTGAACCAACCACAATCCCAGGACTGATGCTGAAACATACTACCCATACCTCCTGAGAAGATGCATATATATGGTGGCATATACACACCCACACCCACAGCCACACACATCCTATCTCCCAAGGGTAAGATATTCTCAAGCAGCTTATGATCTAGTAGGACTGACAAAAGAGACATAAAAAGATAAGGCATAAGAAGACAACACATGGCTGTAAATGCCAAATAGATGGAACAGAGTAGTTTAGGTAAGAGAGCACATTGTGGCTACTATGATCAAAGAAAAGCTTCACCAAAAATATGGGGTAAGAGCTGGATATTTAAAGAACAGCAGAATTCAAATATGTGAAGATGAGAGAATGGCACAAGCAACAGTAGAAATATGCCAGCTGTTTTCACAGGATAGTGTGAAGTCATTTGCTAGTAAATTAACAAGTTTCTTCATAACCCTGAATCACATATATATTTGATATACATTTTGATTCATTTAATACATGTGAGTTCAATTAAATATTTACAAGATGCCCACTATTATACGTACTACTGTTACATACTGGTACCATGTGTATACATACAACTCTACTACTACATATGTACTAGAGATACAAAAACAAAAATGAAATAACCCCTGACTTCAATGATATTTTACTTAGGGTGGGAGTGGGGTCAATGGGATATGCACAAAGATAAAGGTCTAATACAAAGTAGGAAGTGATGGGAGTCAAGGAGAGTACAGAAAAATTACTCTAGTAATAGCTACAATTTCAGCTGGGGTTACAGGAAATTAAGAGATACGAAACAGAAAAGGTGATACCTGGACTGAGTCTTGAAGGAAGATGAAGATTCTGAAAGTGAGAGTTGAGACAGTAATTCATTATAGGCATTAGGGATGACCTGTGTGAATGAATGTAGGTAGGAGATGAAATGTTGAATTCAAGGAACAATTAACAATCTAGTTTTGCTAGAATACAGAATGCATGAAAGATAATAACATACAGAATTAGTTAATGTCTGTGGAAAGTCAGGCACACACACACCACTGGAGGAGCTTTGAATTCCTCTAGCTATTCTGGAAAACAATTCAGAATTATGTGAAAACACACTGTTTATATACTTTGCTAGTGATTCCACTACTAGGCATATACTCAGGAGTAATGAGAAGTAAGGCAGAGGCCATAAATGCTAGGCTAAAAAGAATGTATTTTTCTAGAGGAAATGGGAAGCCAGTAAAAGTTTGTCTTATTTTGTTTTTTATTTTAAAGGAGAAGACAATGACAGATCTGTGACTTAGGAAGATTTTTTTTGGCAGCTGTGTGAAGGAAGGATTAGAAAATGGAGACTAGCAGCAGCTGGGTGGCACAGCGGATACAGCACCGGCCCTGAAGTCAGGAGGACCTGAGTTCAAATGTGGCCTCAGACCAAACACTTGACACTAGCTGTGTGACCCTGGGCAAGTCACTTAACCCCAATTGCCTTAAAAAAAAAATGAAGACTAGAGGCAGGGAGTTGACGTCAACTATGAGTATATTATA